TCCCTGCCCATGCAGGGGGTTGGAACTAGATGATCTTTAAGGTCCCTTCCAACCCAAACCATTTGATGATTCTGTTTTATAGTTCTATACCATAATGGTTTGCTCTCTACAGAGAGTGGAGAGGGAGAACACACTCATTTCAAAACTTGCATCTAGAAGGAATACATACCTCCAGAGGAGAATCACAGAGGAATCGTGTGAACTGCATCAAGGCAGGTTCATCAGAAACGTGTGCCCAATAAGACAGTCCAAATGTGCAAAGCAGAAAAAGAAAAAAAACATTAGCAGTACTTCAGGACACATTAACAGCCAAATACCCTCTTTCCAAACCATATATTTGCAAAACACCATCAGATTTTCAAGTTAAAATAAAATCTCCATAAACAAACTCCCATATTCTACTTCATTTAGAACTGATAAGAGATATAATAATTAACTACCAAAAGAATTTCCTCTCTATAAAAGTCTTTTCCCATTGTCCCACTGGTACCTGCCCCATCACTACAGCAAGAGAGTTAGGACCCTCATATCTCTTAATATAAATTAATTAAGTCTATTTACATTCAAAATCATAAGCAAGCTCATTTTAAGGATAAAGAAGAGGAAAAAAAAAAATCAACTTCCTGAAAGTGCAAGCATTTTCAAACCTAAATTCTTTACTCAATACAAAACAATGTTCTGCAGATAATCAACCCAAAAGGCAAGGTTTTAATGTTCTGGAGCTTGTTAAAGATTCTAAGAGCAATAAAATGTAATAGTTATTTATTTACCATCATTTACGTATTTGATACAAATATTTCCTTATGGGTGGATTCTACATTCAACATGTTCTGAAGTTCTGGTATGTGTTTAACCCTGAAACAACCCTTTGCTAAAAACCTAGGACATGTTACATGGTTTCATTCCCCATTTTGTAATAGCTGGATCATTGCATAAGCCAACAGTTCCCCAACTGCAAAGTAATAGCAAACAGGGACTTTGATTAAAAGTTTGATAAAAAGAATATATATCTACAAAAACCTGATTGGTAAGATTTTGTTGTAAAGAATTCTACGAATTTCTGAGATTAAAGAAGATTATTCAATTTAAAGAACACAAAAAATGTGTTAATTACTTGTTAGTTATCCCATTTTTTTCCCAGGAAAGGGGAAGAAGGCAGGCAGCAACAAAAAGTGCCAATATTTTAAATTGCTGACTTAGGATGGAATTCCATATACAGGCAAAGTAATTAGAACTTCCTCTTTTCTATAGAAGGTGCAGATTTTAGAAATAAAAACACAACCTCTCATACATTGATATATATATAGATATCAATCTGCAAACATTAACTAGACTATTCTCAGTGTAACTCAACGTGAACACAACTGTAACCTCCAAGACTACATCTCTAAGAAAGTGCATCTGTTGATGCTAAAAGAATCATGACTTTGCAGAAGCCATATTTCAGATTTTTCCCTCTCAAACCACAGCAGCAGCTGATTTATGGATTCATGGTAGACCTTTGCACACTGAATTTCTATAAGGTGCTGGTGAAGACAGAGGACTGTGCATTTCCTGTAATCAGCTACTTCAGACCCAGCCACTACCACTCTAAATTACAATGTTTTTGGTTTTTTTTCCAAACAACACAAATTACTGTGATATCTTGGTAACATTCTAGATTATTTTTTTGTTAGGAAGAGAGAAGAGAGGAAAAAAAAGCAGAAAATACTTAGAAGAAGAAAAAAAAAGTCATTTGAAATTTGAATTATTGAGTGATGATCCCATAAAAAAAGAACAGAGTTACAAATTCCTACACTGCAAGTGTCCTTACAGCCAGTGATTTCAGAGTGCAGGCTTCAGAAAAAATAAACCATGTGTTATTAATTTGCATGTAAGAAGACCCCCAATAGCTCTTGATTTGTAACTTTAGCTTTATAGTGCAAGCTAAATCCTATGGGTGAGAAAATTGAACCAACACCACTTTTCAAATAGTTTTGTCAATTCTTCAGGCCCTGCTGTACAATCCCTTGGCTTTGAGGGTGAGGGAAGACTTTTTAAGTGTACCTAAGCAAAAGTTCTGCTTGCTAGGGAGCATATAATGTTACATCTATCTATACTGTTGGCTAGGAAAAAAAATTTTAACTGCCCTTGCATTTCCATCACAATGTTACAGGGAAAAAAAACATTGCAAGTCTTCTTACATGTTACTTCACCTGTTGATACTTGCTAAAGTTCTCATGTTAAACAATTTTCTGAAGTCCTAGAAAATTTCAGAGGACTGTAAATCTTCTCTAGAAGTCAATTCAGAAGCAATTACCCTAAAACTTGACAATTTTTGGTTGTGGGTTTGTTAAGAAATAATTTAATTGACACAAAAAGCTGGAGAATTTAATAAATATTTCAGATGGAGTGACCCCTGCTGTTACCTTCTCAACCCTTACTCTCCTCTCCTACCCACAAATCCACATCACTTTTATCATAAGCTAGGAATACACCCAGTCCACACATTTA